TTGCTTGGCACTATCCTTCCTCGACACTAAAGGCTAGAGTTTGTATCTTAATTCAACTGAATAATCTCTACTTACCATTTCTTCTGCGACCTACATGGACAATGTTAGAAATGGTAAAAGGTTAGGAATGGATGTACTATTATTTACCTGATGGTTTGTCTTGTATGACCTTCCTCCGCTGCTCTTTGGCCACCTCAGGCTGGCCATCATCGTCATCATCGTCATCGTCGTTATTGTGATCGTCACCATTGTGAGGACCATCCAAGTCCTCTTCGTCCTCCTCTTCTTCGTCCTCCTCTTCTTCGTCCTCCTCTTCGTCCTTCTGCTCTTCCTGCTCATTATCTTTCTCTGGCTCCTCATCCCCCTCTTGCATTTCTTCCATAGGCTGCTCAGGCTGGATTGCTTGTTTTTCCAGGAACATCTTGGAAAAATCATCTGGCCGAGTCTCCATCTCAAAATACAAGACATCCATAGCCTGTTTTAGTGCGTGACCTAGGACCGTATCCTCACCCGACTGTCTTAACATGGTTTCTGCACGTTCTTGCACCCTTCGAAGATGACGAGATGAGAAAAACGTGGCCCTGACTTGAAAAGCATCCCTCATCCATTGTACCTCTCCATTGAGATTGGGGAAGGGGAGTCCGCCATAGGAATCTGAGTCAAAAGGTGGTGACTGGCTCCTTTCACTCAGCCCTTGATCTGCAATGAATGGCATGAGCACACACGCCATAACCGCGAGGCATTACCTATCATCTTTTCGTTGCCCTTCTTCCTTTTCGAATCAAACGCCTCTGATCCCGACGACTGTCCAACGTGCTTTCGCTTTTTATGACCACTGTCAGTTTGAGCTTGGCTGGTGCTTGCCTGTTTTGCCTTTGAAGAAGTGTCTCCTGCAAGGAATGGCATGAGACCACACGCCATTGCAAATATAATTTGTACCTCCTTTTTTCCTATTGCTTGTCTGTTTGTCCTTCTTCAACGCGCCACCAGTGCGCTTTTCAGTCCTCGTGTCTGAATATTCACAACGATCTATAATCAAAATGGCGTGAGGCCTCACGTGACCTTACCTTGTGCAGGTTGTGACCTCGGCCTAACATCAGTAGCTGTTAACGCCGTTTCAGCATCTGGGGGTGGCCACGCTCCTGCATACAGAGCTTGTGAGATAACATTTAAACTTAAAGTGCGTACTCACCAGGTTCGTAGAGAAGATACTGTTTTTCTTTGGCAACTGTAATTATATGCTCCATTGAAGTCACCTCTTCAATGGAGTTTGTCACCGCAACACACGGGACACCCTTGAGTAGTGCGGCTCGAAAGAATAGTCCGCCGCAGTTGTACTCGACAACGCATTTGCCCTTGGAGTCACCCGCTATTGCGTTGAAGACCCAGCTGAGCATTTCCCATGCTGCACCTGGAGCTTTCTTTGGATTCGAAAGCTCCATAGCCGTCTTCAGTTCCTCAGGCACGGGTAAATTGACCTCCCTCAGATCAATTCGATCGGCTTTGTTGAACGAAGCTGGGAAGTCACTCCAGTCCCACTCTGCTGCAGGACCAATAACAAGGGCGACTGTGAAGATGCGGACATTCGTCGGTATCTTCTTCTTAGCCATTATCCCATGGATCTCCCGCATCTCCTTGCCTTTCAACCGAGCCTTCACCTCGTTCAAGGCCTTCCAGAACTTGTGATAGGATTCGGAGTCGTAGATCATATAGTGGACTGAAGATTCCACCTCCGCAAGTCCCACCATTAAGTCAATGATGGAGCTGACTTCGTCTGCATGAGTGATCTCCTCGTTTGTGAAGTCCATCACACAAAAGATGTTCTTGACCTGCTCATCTCCGCGGGAAACGATGCTCCTCCACCTTTGATCCTCATCCGAATTCACGTATACCCGGTAAGGTTCTCGATAGGCCTCTGCTGCGGGGTCGAGCTGTTTCTGAAGCCGGCGGTCGACATCCCTCTTAATGAAATTTGGATACTGATCCAACTTCTCAGCTTTACTTTTCGTGGCATCCCGCAGCAGATCGATGAACTTGGGGGCCCCCTTCACGTACTCGTCGATGTCTTCATTTGACAAGTCCAGCTCTTCCATCATCTCTTGCGTGGTGTCGATGCTCACCCTCGCCACGGCCACTTGCTCGAAGATCCAATCCTTCAATAGCGCACGAGCTCTCAGAGTCGTGCAC